TTTATGTCATATATATATATATATATATATATATATATGCTATTTTTACCCATCGTCATCGAAGATTGAAAAGCCAGATTTCTGTCACATGATTTTTTGAAGGTGAAGCATAGCTTTACAAGGTCCCATAGTGTTTAGTCTAAGAAATTCTTGCAAAAACGAAAAGAACGCATTCGTAAGCCTACTAAATTAGCATAACTGATTGATGCTTTAGGCGTACAATAACGTATTTAACATTTACTTTAGGCAGCATGATATAATGTCCTTGCAGGTGATTTTTTCGGGCTGAGCTTGGCAACGGATGTCAGACGACGAGGGTCGTCTTTTAATAGACGACATCCAGGATGGGTCTGGATCGATGGATCATGATTTTTCGTCGAATACTCTAGTTGACGCTAAATCTGCTCAAGGTTTTTGAATTTATCATAGACATTATAACATTTTCCTTCTTTTTTTTTCGCAAAGTGTTTATGTTTATTCAGACTCGCCACTCGTTCTAGGCGATGCTGAAAACACCGCCATAAACAAGCTGTCGACACCTTTGACTGTTCCTGTGTTCGGGCAGCCGCAAGTTACTTCTAGCGGAGATGTCCATTTTCACGCTGGAAGTGTTGCTCAAAGGATAGAGACTAACAGTATGGTTTTCTCTTCAAATGAACCATTCCATTATTACAACCTAAAGTTTATCATCTCATTCAGCATTTCCCTTCGCTAGTAACTTTACAAAGATTCTCGGCGAGCAGGAGTCTCCAGCAGCTTTGAACAGTTCACCTTCAAAACACAAGTAATTTGACTTGATCTTACATGTATCTTGAATATGTTTGGTTGTTTTTTTTGCCATCAACGATATATAAACTATTAAGAAAGAAGTTTCAACATGATACAAGTCCGTCGGTTTTTACTCCCAGGAGCGAAAACCATTCATTTGTAACCACACCTCGGAACTCAACGTTTGTGTCTCTACTATTTTTCGGCTTGTTCTTCCTGCTCAACACGATTAATCTTATTCCATATTTAGTACGGCAAATGATCCCAGTAATCCTGGAGACAATTCTGCTGGTGGAAAGCGACAGAAGAGATTCAAGGCGAATGGAGTGTAAGAACATATCTTATGCTTTAGTACAGAAATGTTTCAGCAACTTTCACTTTCGAGCGGTTTGTTAGGAAAAAAAGCACGCGTCTTATTATTTGATAAGCGCCCTCTTCCCCCCAGTCAAACAACTCCTCTAATGCTAGCGAACCGCCCCCGTTTGAGAACTGCCGCGGAAGGTTTCTGTACCGACTTTACATGCTTAAAAAATGTATCTATTAACAGTAACTAAGCGATATTATATATATATATATATTGCACATATATTTATTTAATCATACATATAGGTCAAAAGGACGAGGTGATGCTTTACCGCCTAGGAAGAGGAAGGACAGCTCTTTTGATGAGCAGAACCTTCCCGAGTCAGATTCAGACGAGACGGTGACGAAAAAATCAAGACCGGTGCGCACAGTTTTATACCGTTTTGGCTTGGAATTTTGCTCTTTTTCCTTTTTCCAGCAAACTCGTGATCGTGGAACGTGTGTGCATTCTCGTGCTGTGCAGAGCGACACAGATACATCGTTCTTTGACTTGGAGGTTGGATCTACTCGACTTGTGGAGATGACAGTCATGTGTAAAATGGAAAGTATGTTTAGTCGTCCAATTATGGTTTCTTGAAGCTTCATAGATAGTCTGTTCTAAACACTACATTACTATTAGATCCTCACTTATCTAGTATATGTCGTAGTCGATGTGCCGTCATATGATAGCACATCAAAATTGGACAGTGAGCTTTTATGTGAAGGATTATACCGAATTTCACAATTATTGACAAATATTCAAGTTGAATGTATTGTTAATCCTCATTTGTTTATTTGAAAATCATGCCCTTGGCGACGAAAAAAGAGAAATATACTAGCAACAAAATGTGGACATCGGTAAAATCTTATTCAGATCGTCGTATGTAGATCTAAATATACTTGAGGATGGCGTTCATAATTCATAGGTAGAGTTTTTGTGGTGTTCTTGAACCGTCCTTTGACATAAACTGACGGTCGACTGCAACGTAGGACATGCTGACATATTTCAGATAACGAGTTGTATGTCACTGTGAAGTGGAAGGATCAAGAGATGAGCGGTGTGCTCACTGATGGTAGATCTCCTGCCTACAATCCATACATGAAAAAGAGGTAAGCTTGGTTGATCTTATCATTGTGCTATGGTATTTTTATAGTGCTAATCAAACATCAATACAATGAATATCTTGAAAGAAAAGTGTTTTAAATGCTGTAAACGTCAGAAAGCAGAACCTTGCTCTTCGGGCCTTTTTTCGCAGTAATATCATTTGAATATATATTTTTTCTCTTAAACGCACATAGACTTTGTCCACTGTGACTGCTAGTGGTCATCACTGTTGAAATACTATATTGACTTTTCAATTTCTATTTTCAGACAGGCACTAGTAACCAGTGGCTCAAATAGTTCTAACAACAGCGCCTCTAGCGAGGGAAATGAACGAGCCTCAAACAGCGGTGCAAGTACTCCATCCAAACACCGACAGCAACCTACAACTCCTCGTGACACCAAGAAGAGAAGCATGCCTTCTGACGCAAAAAGAAAGCTATCTTGTATACCATTGCGTCCTGGAGTTTCAGCGGAACCGCGTAAGTTTGAATTCTCGCGATTTCACTTCTTTCAAATGATTTATAAAATAAAGTTTATAAGTCTTCCAAATTCTCAGAAGATGATGACGAGGACTTGGACGTAGAATCTTGTGTAGGAGGATCTTCATCCAACACTGATACCTTCAAACTTTTTGAAGTTCCTGGACGGTAATAGTTCTACATCCAATTATTTTGTTTTGGAATGATTTGATTCTGATTTCGTGTCAGTCGTATCATATGGCGCAAACTTCATCAGCAAATCAGAATTTAACATTTTCGATCAGAAAGTAGTCCCCAGAATCTTGAAAACCGTTCATTGATCAATATCTACTGACCTCATTTTAGTACTTTTATCATATCGAGATGATGGAAATAACAAACTTCTGAAATCTCGTTTTGTAGGGACTCACAAAGTTATCGATCATCTGAGAGATTCGTGGATTGATTTAATCTTTTGTTTAGGAAGTCTATGCATATCTGTCCGTTTGAAGGCTGCCAACATCGATATTCACGCGGCGAAGAAATGGAATATCATAAGGCCACTGCACATGCAAAGAGAGCTGTACGAGATCTAAAGAGAACTAAATCTTGTTTTATTTTTTCAAATTTAGGTCATGTATGAAGCTATTTGTTGTCAGACTGATATATCTGCCTTACGGAGACGTTCTGTTCAAACCGATGTTGAGGGTCTTATACCCGAAGAACCTCCTTGCCCGTCGACAGTAATTGATGTCGCGACAATGGTAAGATCTAAAGTTTGGTTTTTCAGGTCGTGATGATGCTCCAGTAGTTTTAGTACTCATTTAAGTTTAAAAAAAACTGTGAGCAGAACGTTGATATCCCCGTTTGCCAATATTTTGACTCCCTTTCTATGTTCGATATTCCTTTTTTGCACTTGAATACATAATCTATATTGTACTTATTGAGCATTTGTTTTTTCTTTTCTTTTTGGGAAAAAATCAACTATTGTCAGGTATTGCAAAGTAATTAAATCAGTAGTATCGAACTTTTTAACAAGAATTAAGTAATGTCCTAGTTCACAAAAGCGCTAACATTATCGTTAATATCTCGAAATGTAAGCAAAAAATGTTAAAACAGGAAAGCACGACCTCGGCCTTATCTACAGCTGAGATGAAAGTTGAAGATCCTCAGCCATCAAAGTCTCCGGCAGGATACTCAGATATCTCTGACGATGGCGTTGCTCCTCAGCTACAAAAGGTTGGAACTGTTCAATATCCAAGTCGGGAATGAAATCTTACAAGTTTTCGTTTTCATGTAACTGAACTTTCTAAACTGCCAGAGAAATTATCTGTTCTAGGAAGAACCCACTAATGATGTCCATGCACCTCTCCTAATTTCGACCACTCTCCCTACCACCACAACATCAGAACCTGCAAACGTTCTCACATCACCTGAATTTGCTCCTAGCCCCAAAGAAAGGGATATTGCCCCAGGTGCTCAATAGTTCTAGACATCAGAACATTTATGTGCGATTTGTTGATCCATTTTTAAACCGAAGCAACACAACCTTAGCAAAATTTCGAAGCTTACCTAAAGTAAACTGAGGCTAGAGTACTTTTCAATACAAAATTGTGTGAGGCACTAGTTCTGTAATAGTTTTGTGGTTGAAATGCACATATTGGCTTAAATTTTCAATAACAATCAAAAGTAATTTGATAAATCTATCTAGAATCAGTACCATCTACTCCACAACAATCTAAGACTTCTCGTCCTTCTTCCATGCCAGTAGCACCTGCCACTCCAACTGCACCGCAGTCATGTTTTCAACCGGTGTCAGGTTTGTTGATGTTTCTTATTTCTAAAGGAATGAGTATAAATATAGTATGATGCGCGGTGTCTATTCCATTTTTACAAGTTATTACAGTTGATCGCAACCGAAGTACTGTGAATGGTACTGGAGTAAGCCCTGTAATGAATTGCGTTGGCACACCAACTCCTATTTCGGCAATATCGGCGTCTACTCGCTGTGTGTTGCTTTTCTTCGGAGTTTTGTAGATATAGAGTTTTAGCGCGTTTGTTTTTAATACCTGTCATCGAAAAATCTATTTCTTGGGGGTTTTGGATTGTAGTCTCACTCTGAATCTTCATAGACACCACTTTGTACATCTTGATGGTGTTGATCCGTTTTGAAAATAAAATTACCGTCCATTTCTTTACATAAAAGGGCTGGCTATTGAGCTGTGAGAAGCGCAATATCGAATGCCATCCCCCCTAAATAGTGATATTTTTGGTTTTCAAAAAGAAAGAAAGAATAATTTATTCTAGTGCCAGTGACTCCAGCTCCCACTGGGGTGTACATGTCTTCATTTGCTCACCAAATGATGTCGCCTTTCACTCCTACTCAATTCGGAGCTGCTCCAACGGCAAATCCGGTGCCATCGCCTCAGCAACAGTCATTGAGCAAACTTGCTCAGTCTCATTTGAAGCCAGATGGTTAGCTGCTTCCGGTCACAACAGATAATCTCGCAGCCTTTTATGTAAGTACCTCTGATTTTGCAGATGTTACATCGCCAAGCGGTGTGCTATCGAGTGCAAAAACTATGCAATCTCCGGCAGCGCAGAACATGCAGCGGCAATTTGGATTACAATTGATGCAGTCGGGAACAGGTAAGGTTTCTTGGATAAAGCTCCAATCTCAACAACGTTTTTGCAAGATCACCTCTCGGATATGCTTATCAGAGACGTTAATATTGTCATAACTCCAGAATCATTTGTTACATCATTAAGTCATATGCACTTTCTATAAAAATTGCAAATTCCTGATTTCTAAGTTTTTTTAGGACAACATCAAGCCGCAATGATGCAAGCTGCTGCCGCGCAAACCCAAATGGCTCAAATGGCTCAGATGCACCATCTTTACATGCAACAAATGGCCGCTGGTGCTAGAGGTGCGCAGTTTCCCGTAAGTGATTTAAAGTAATACTTAGTTTCGCTAAAATTCATCTATAATAGACCTGTCATAATCTATTCGTATATCACTAAAACTTATTACAACCTTTGATTGATTTAAGAATCGCTTCATAGAAAATGAGAAAATTGGTTTTGTTTGGGAATTTATGCGTTTTTTTTTT